ATATTTTTCTTAATATTCAAATATTTTTCTCCGTGTAAATTTAAACAAAACGTTAGGACACAATAAGTCTCTATTAGAAACCTATTATATTCCAACAAATAAATATTTTCTTAATAGCGAAGTGCGAATAGCACAGTGAAAAATGTCACTTTTTTCCGATTAATGAAACGATAGATTGTAAGTAGCGGTATTGGCGTGAGTGCAGTGAGACATGGGAGGGACGATATAAGCATCGGTGTATTGTCCTCCTCCTTGTCGCGCGTTGGTAGCAGTTGCTAAATTAACTAGGCAGCGCTTACCCCGAGCGGCTTCATGTTCCTCCCATGTCGTCTCGGCGCGCACTCATTTATTAGATTTCTATAATTAATAACTCAATAATTATTGTGAATATCGCAAAACGGTATGGGATTTTTTTCTTTGCCTTAATTTTATTAGATTCAGTTGCTAACTCTTTCCGATAAAATTTACATAGCTCAGAGCAAAATTTGAAATTGAAATATTCTCCCGCTCTTTTGCGGCTTTAAAGTATTAACATTTAACTTTTCGAAATGACATATGGTTTGATATACAGGGTGCTAAATTTCAAACGTAACAGATAAAAAATCTCGAAAACTATGAAAGATATTATACAAAATATACAAAAAGCTGAAACACGTGTTCCATGATTTCGAAGGGGAAAGGGAATAGCATTATCAGTTTTTTAATTGGGGGCATTTTCAAGGTCAATTGAAGGTCAACATAATTTTTTTAAATAGAAAGCCTAATTTTTTATTATATCTTCTTTTTCTACCAATTAATTTTAACAACTTTTGTCTGAAACATTTTCCATTTGCCTAATATTTGTTGAAATATTTAAGGAAAACTTGGTAACTTTTTCAACATTTAACTTACGATATATCGCTAACTATTTGTCGGAACAAAAAATAGTATTAGATTTTCTTACTTTATTTATTATCAAGAATATATTACTATAACAGTGCCCTAACTTTTATTATTTTAATAATTTTAAAATTTCCAAAGTTCAATAAGTTAACAAAAGTTAGGGCACTATTATAGTTATATATTCTTGATAGTAAATAAAGTAAAAAAGTCTAATACTATTTTTTCTTCCGACGAATAGTTAGCGAGATATTGTAAATTAAATGTTGAAAAAGTTACCAAGTTTTCCTTAAATATTTCAACAAATATTAGGCAAATGGAAAATGTTTCAGACAAAAGTTGTTAAAATTAATTGGTAGAAAAAGAAGATATAATAAAAAATTAGGCTTTCTATTTAAAAAAATTATGTTGACCTTCAATTGACCTTGAAAATGCCCTCTAAATAAAAAACTGATAATGCCATTCTCTCTCCCCTTCGAAATCATGGAACACGTGTTTTAGCTTTTTCTAATATCTTTCATAGTTTTCGAGATTTTTTACCTATTACATTTGAAATTTAGCACCCTGTATGTACCATAAATAATCAGTAGTGTTGATTGGCTATTGACAAAGAGTATATTTGATACATGATGCATTTCATATTTCAACAAAATTTAAACAAAAATTATTCTGAAGCAGCCAAAATAATTTGTGCTGCTTATGGTGAAAATATCGTACTGTGACCGATCGTACGTACCGCAATTAGTTTGAACATTTTCGAAGTGGTGATTTTGTTTTTCATGATTAACCACGTCTGCCAAAAAAATGTGAAAGGCTGCAAATATATTGAATGAAAATATGGCACAAACACAACAAGAACTTGCGAAAAAGCTAGGAGTAAACTAGAAAGCTATTTATGACGGGCTGCGTCCAGAAAACACAATAGTTGCACAACAGTTGAGTAATTCGTCAACGTTATTGGTCTGAATGTAAAGATTTAACAATAAAGACCAGTAGTCACTAATTGCTCGGTGAGCGCTCTGTTCTCTAAATGCAGCCATGGTTTACATTGTATGGAAAAAATACGGAAAGAAAGAAAGTGGGTTCCATACGAACTAACCATTAATAACAAAAATCATCGATTAACCACATCCGTTACCTTGTTCGTTGAATAACGGAAGAAAAGATCTTTTGCACAAAATCGTAACTGGAGACGAAGAATGGATTATACAAGGTGTCTCATTTTAAATCTCCCAGGCGAATATCTCGAAAAATATGGAATATACGGAAAAATATTTAAGACAAATGTTGCATGGTTTTAAGGGAGACATAAAACAACTATATCAGTTTGTTTACAGATAATGCCACTTTTAAAATATACACTGATCATTACTTTTCTTAAATGGGAACTCGAATTTATTATCCTTTCCTACCAATTAATTTGAACAATTTTTGTTTGAAACATTTCTTTATTTGTCTAATATTTTTTGAGATATTTCAGGAAAACTTAATAACTTTTTCAATATTTAACTTACGATATCTCGCTGTTTATTGAAAGAAAAAATGATATTATACTTTTTTATTCTATTTGATCTCAAGAATATATTGTTACAGTAGTGCCTTAACTTTTGTTAATTTATCGACTTTTGGAAATTTCTAAATCATCAAATTAATAAAATTCAAGGCGCTATTGTAACAATATATTCCTGAGACCAAGTAGAGTAAAAAAGTCTAGTACTATTTTTTCTTTCGACAAATAGCGAGATATCGTAAGTTAAATATTGAAAAAGTTACCAAGTTTTCCCTAAATATTTCAAAAAATATTAAATAAATAAAAAAATGTTTCAGATAAAAGTTGTTCAAATTAATTGGTAGAAAAAGATGGTGTAATAAGAAATTGGGGTTTCCATTTAAGAAAAGTAATGAACAGTGAATATCTTGAAAATGGCGCCATCTGTAAATAAATTGATATAATTGTTTTATGTACTCCTTGAAACCATACAACTTTTGTCTGAAATATTGGGTCTGGGAAAAAGTTCGTGGCGTTTTTTTAGTAAAATTCAACTGGTTTTCTTATAATGTGAAAATGAATTTATTTAAACCAAATATGCTCCATTATTATTGATAATGTTTCGCCATTTTTTGGGTAGAGCTATAATGCCATCGGTGAAGAACTTCTGTGGTTTCTGGTTGAAAAACTGAATCAAGTGGTTTTCACAGGTTTCTTTTGAAACCAGCTTAATTCTATTGAGAGAGTTTTGCAGAGATCGGAACAAGTGATAGTCAGAGGGTGTTATGTCTAGACTATACGGTGGATGCATCAAAACTTTCCCAACCAAGCTCTCGCAATTTTTGATGGATCATCAAAGAAGTGTGTAGTCGGGCGTTGTCATGATATAAGACATGATATAAGACAACACCTTTCCTATTATTCAATTCGGGCCGTTTTCTTTCAAATTCTTTCTTGCCTGGCGTAATCTCTCTAGTTGTCCACAGTAGAGTTGAGAATTAATCGTCTGACCAACTGGAAGTAGCTCATGGTGGACGATTCCCTTCCAGTCCCACCACAAATACAGCATCACCTTTTTCGGTGTCAATCCTGGCTTCGCGAACGTTTGTGACCGACTCACCATCCCTTATCCACGATCTTTTACGCTTCCGATTGTCGCACGTGATCCATTTTTCATCACCGGTTATGACACGTTTAAGAAATGGCTCGATTTCATTGCGTTTCAGTAGCGCATCGCAGATGTTAATTCGGTCTATCATGTTTTTCGCGCTCAACTTATGAGGAACCATACATCGAGCTTCTTTTTGTAGCCAGCTTTGTGTAAATGGTTCAAAACAGTTTTGTGGTCAATGCCTAGCTCTATATCAATATCGACACTACTGATATACTTATCTTGCTGGACTTTTTCAAGAATTTCATCAGCTTTTTCAATGATTGGACGGCCAGAGCGTGACTCATCTTTCACATCAAAATTACCAGAACGAAAGCGAGCGAACCATTTCCGCGCAGCAGATTTTGATAAAGTACCTCCACCGTACACAGCACAAATTTTTTCACAAGCCTGCGCAGCGTTCTTCCCTCTGTCGTAATAATATTGCAAAATATAGCGCAATTTTTCATTACTTTTCTCCATTTTCAAACGCAAACAACTTTCCAACCACTGCATCAATTTCGATGTTTATACACTCAAAGTAACGCTCGAAGTGTCACCTTTCCAACGAGCGTTTAGTGGTGTCGCTGCGATCTGTGTTTCCTGAGTTATTTGCAATTGACGCCATTTATCGGGAAAAACGCCACGAACTTTTTCCCAGACCCAATATTTTTCCATATCTTCCATATTTTTCGAAATATTTGCCTAGGGGATTAAAAATGGAACATCCTGTATATGAAAATGTTAAATATAAAAAAATGATAGATTCTGGCCAATTGACAACATCGACAACAAAATCTAAACATTTCAGAAAAAGAAGTTCTAATTCTTCTCTGTATATGGTGGGACCAGAAGAATATGCTTTATTATGAACTGAGTAAAACTATTAAAGCAAAGATTTACTAAGAGTAATTGACATGTTTGAACGGTGCAATTGAGAGAAAAGGCCATTTACTGGACAACGTAGCCATAAAGTTATCTTGCTACACGATAATACTAAACCACATATACCAAAGTCACAAAGAAAACCATCTTACACTTGGGCTCTCTCTTACACAGCATATTTTCCAGACTTTATTTCATCAGATTTTCGTTTATTTTGGTCTATACAATACGCACTGTTTAATACACATTTTTTAACAGTGACGATGTACGAAACAACATCGAAGACTTTATAGTTTCAAAGGTAACAAGTTTCTATCGTGATAGGACTCGGCAACTGCCTAATAAAAGACGTAAGGTCATTGATAGCAACGGAGAGTATTTAATTGATTAATCTTGTTCTATTGATTTTTAAATAAAGATTGAAAATTCTCGAAAATCGGAAAGAATTAACTACTAGACCTAACACATTTCCACAGAGTGTTCCGGAATAATTTGTGCTATAGCATTTTTATACTATTATATAGCCATTTTTTATGCCGGTATAACAAACTTATTTCATTGCATTGTTTAATATTTATTCAATAATTTATGACACAGGTAAAGATTGGCAATGGATGCCAGAATCGAAGAATAGTACATACTTAAAAATTCTTAAGCGCTTTGAAGATAAAAGAGCTGCTACTTTTTCCATTCATCAAATTGCATTGACGGGAGCATCTGAAGGAAAAGAAGTTGGACAATGGTTTGGTCCTAATACCATTGCGCAAGTATTAAAGTATGTATTGAAGAAATTTTCATTGTATGTTTAATTAGATTTCATTTAATGTATCTGTAATAAATTCTCTACATTTAAAACATACAAATATTTATTAATAATTTTGGTATATCGTATAACCGATGTAGGTAAGCTATCGATATTCCGCAGTATATTGTCGCCCATGTAGTCATGCTATGAAAATATGCTGTTATAAATTTGAACACCAGGTACTCCAAAGCGTATTACTGAAAATCAATGTTCTCACATATTTACATTTCAATTGAAAAAAAAATATTGCAGAGGCTAAAGAAATAATTTATCCGACTTAGAGCGAAGATGCTGTTTCCTACAGTATATGTAAGGAGTAGTTCCAAAGGTTTAAGAGTGGAAATTTGGATCTCAAAGAACGTTCGTACATCTTGAGTAATATTAATGTGGGCGGTAATGTACTTTCAAGCCTTACAATTATTAAAATAATAAAATAAATAATGAAATGTTTAAATAATAAAATTAAATAATAAAATCTTTAAACAAAGTATCTAAAAAAGTTGGAAAAATATACAGGGTGTCCAAAACCACCCGTCTATTCCTTCTAAAATCTAGAACTCTAAAAGTATTATACGAAGAGACATTTTATTATAGTGTTTTGGAAAGCTCTAAAGATAAGCTCTAAGCTCATGTAATAAAGAGTGAGGGTTCGCGTTTAACAATTTTAAAGTGACTTTCACGTGACTTTCAAATGACTTTTAAAAAATAAACTAATGGCACCGTGTTATATCTCCCTCAAAATCACAAAACTTTTGTATAAAATATTTTTCAATGAAAACTCTGATTTTCGAGATATATAGGGTATCCAAAACCATCCGTCCATTCCTTCTAAAATCTAGAAAATTAATTTTTTTGGGGATCTGAAAAGTTTTTATAACTATGTCGGGTACGCTCTTTTGATTGGTGATATCAACTTCCGGCTTCGACCGGAAGTGGATTATCCAGACCGGAAGATTGTTTTTTTAAATGGAACATGCATATTTTTATTGCGAATTCCAATTCTACGCATAAAAAACGTAATTTTGGTTTGAAAAATTTTTTTCGAAAACGTCATTTTTGACCTCTAAATGACCTTTACATTTGAGCTTGGATCCGGTCCGCACGAAACCTTTCAAACTTCAGGGACTGAATTGTTGAGAAAATAATGTCAACTTATGTATTTTTCGATTTTCTGTTAGATAGTACTATTATTTTCTCGATAATCCAGTCCCTGAAGTTTGAAAGGGGTTTCGTGTGGACCGGACCCAGGCTCAAATATAAAAGTCATTTAGAGGTCAAAAGTGACGTTTTCGAAAAAAAATTTTCAAACCAAAATTATGTTTTTTATGCGTAAAATTGCAATCCGCATTAAAAATATGCATGTTCCATTTAAAAAAACGATTTTCCGGTCTGAATAACCCACTTCCGGTCGGAGCCGGAAGTTGATAATATCACCAATCAAAAATACCCCACATAGCTATAAAAATTTTTCAGATTCCCAAAAAAATTATTTTTCTAGGTTTTAGAAGGAATGGACGGGTGGTTTTGGACACCCTGTATATTTTTCAACTTTTTTAGATACTTTGTTTAAAGATTTTATTATTTAAACATTTCATTATTTATTTTATTATTTTAATAATTTTACACATTTGACTTCATATTTATAATCTACGATCTAAAAAACATCTATATCTTACATTCAATTTTGTTTCTTATGCATTTTTCCGTATTTATTGACGACAGGAAGACAAAAATTGAAGAATAATGAAATATCTGTAAAACTTTTAAAACCGAAAGCAAGCACAAATGGAAGGACATAACCTTAATATTTTTTTGTTTCTTTACATTTGTGCGAAATTTCAAAAAAATCGGAGTTCATTTAGGATTACTTATCAGATCCGTACGACTAATTTGACGGGCGATGGGACGCAACCAAATGTGCAGTTATAAGGCTAGTTTATATCAACAGTAATATGTCAATAACGTATGTTTGTGATAATATTATAAATTATTGAGTAAACAATTTAATTGTTAAAAATAATTGTTTACAACAAGTTACGGTAAATATTTACCTATGGGGACCACCTTCCGATCTCAAAAATTGTAGTTGTATGTTATGTAGATCATCACTCTGACAAGTAACACTACTCAACTGTCACTCACCGATTCCAATGAAATTTGGCATGCACGTGGAACATTGAAAAATATTGAACACGTGTTTTTTTATATCGGCTGACAACGCATTTTAAGGGTGGAAATCACCCCTTAATCCTTGAACATGAAAGCACTATTTCAACCCTGTGTACATATTACATGTGATTTCCGTCAAACTTGTCTTCCATTGAACTAGTTAGAAAGGGGTTTTTAGGGTCGCTGATTACGAATCTGGAGATAAAATTACAAACTTCAAGATGGCGGACCCAATATGGCGGACCGAAATTATAAAAAGATGATTGATCAAACCAAATTTGGTATCTGGAAGTTTTTGGGGCTTCTAATTACAAATCTGGAGATAAAATTACAAAATTCAAAATGGCGGAATATGATAAATGGCGGAATATGACGCAATATGACAGATCGAAATTGTATCAGTGAAGGAGGATATTGCCTCAGGCAATTACATTTACTAAAACAATTAATCAGTATTCAAAATTGACCTGTCGCGTCAGTTTTTTTAGATTAGGAAATTGGTTTTCCAAAAGATTATTATCCGTCAGTATCCGAGCGGAATATGCAATGATATTCTGACATATCTTGATAAGATAAAATATTTTCCTTGAAATAATTCCATGCTGAATTTTGAAATTATGCACCCATTTCGTTGAAGCCGAAAATGATTGAACACGAGATAAATTAACATCTTCTCTCGCCGTGATGGCCCATCTTTTCAAACCTAAATCATGGATGGCATACCTTTGTCAGAAGCAGAGTTAAATTGTTTCATAACATCGTGAAATAAATAATAATTTATCACTTCTCGATCCACCTTCGGCAACATGTGCTTCCCATCTATAATATATAATCGTTGATTTAAGACTTTCATGAATCGGCTTTTTACTGTTTTAAAGCTCAATCTTTTCTTTTTTCCTGATCGTCAATATTCAACTACTTTTTTTTTTTTTATTATTTGATCACGGTGGGGAAATCCTCGTGGATACCCTCGCCCCTTGAAGGGGTGGGATTATGCCGGGCTCTTATCGGCTAAAACCCCATCGGGGTGTTTACCAGTCGGGCCGGAGTGTGGGGAGTTGGAGGAACTGCGCCGGCATTCCCTCCCCGACACCCCGGCCCTGGGGCTCTAACGGAGTCCCTCACCCAAGTGCCGCGCCCCCTTCCACACCCGGCGCCCGGCCGGGTTGGCCTCCTGGTTTCTAATTGGAGAGAGGGGACACCCACTGTGGGATTGTAACAATCAAGCCTCACTCGCAACTATGTTGTAAGAATATATGTATTTTTGATGTTGTGGAGTAACATAGAAATAAATTGATGGACAGCGATTCCGCTCGTACTTCGTAATTAGGTCGCTTTTTTCTTCCTTTATCTCTTTTCGCTCGTTTTCCTCTCCACCTTCTTTTCTTTTCTACTGTAGTGCCCTCTTTCTTTTCTTTTCTTACTCGATGTTCCGTGTCCGCCCCGCTCCGGGCGCCACGCAGTGCCACCGCAATCGCGGAAAATTCAAAGTTCGCCTCATTCCAATCGCATGCATTCTAACGTTCCTACACTCGGCCAGTCCTGATTAGGCATCGGTCTCCGATGCATTGGTTATGTCGGATTCACTTCCACTTTCATCATTATAATCGCTTATATATTGACCCGTCAACCATCTTTTTATGCGATCGGCAGAAGTACCAGTAGTCATTGGTCCTTCATGTTCGTCAACTTTTGAAACTACATATTGGTCGCCACGCAAAACTTACAACTTCATACGGTCCTAAAAATTTTGAACAGAATTTCCCTGGAACGTTTTGACTCCGCTTAATGGCAACTAAGTCGCCTATTCGGTATACATTTGCCTTTTTCCGCTTACGGTCGTAACTCTTACGATTCTCTTGCTGGATATTTTCAATAGCTATTTTAGCTCGTTCGCGCAATTCTAATCGCTTTTCCTGTACTTGGGTCACTAGTTCTTCCTCTACAAGCCTGTTTAATTCAAGATCTTCACGCAAGAGCATAGACTGACCAACTAATAATTCGAAGGGAGATAGCTTTGTGCTCCTAGAGGGTGTAGAATTCAAGAATTGCTGCACTTTATCGACGTGTTTGTACCATGTTTCTGGTCGTGGTGCTGAAAGTTTAGTAAATAAAGGAATAATAATCCTATTGATTCGCTCCACTTGTCCGTTACCTCTCGGCACGCCTATCGTTGTCAAGATATGTTCAATTTTTTCATTAACGCAATACTCCCTAAAGTCCGAAGACGTAAAGGCAGTACCTCTGTCTGTAATGACTCTTCGAGGTTTCCCAAATATAGCAGATTGTTTTGTTAATCGTGATATTACTTCTGCAGTGGTTGTCGACCGTGTAGGATAAAGCCATACGAACTTCGTAAAACTATCTACCACCACAAATATGTGGGCGTAACTTTTCCTTGTATTAGGAATCGGTCCCAAATGATCAAGATGGAACGTGTCAAGTGGAGTAGTACCTTTCGAAATATTATGTAATAAACCCTCTTGTTTACCACCTTTACGCTCGGCTAGTATACAGGATATACAATTTTTAACAATCTTGTCAATTCTCTCTCGCATACGAGGAAACTAAAATTCTCTCTTAATCATTTGCTCTAATTTGCCTACGGAAAAATGGCCTTTGTCGTGCGCTTGTTTAATCACGTCGTAACACATAGATTTAGGCACGACCATCAGTAAGTCATCCTCAACTTTTCGGTATAGTATTTCATTTTGTAACACAAAATCGCTGTTATTCATGGACATTTTAAAATACGGTTGTAAATCACTATCTTCACGTTGTGCTTTCGAAATTCGTGTTAT